AGTTAGAGTAGAACTTGTTCGTGGGCCTGACCCACTATTATTTTTCTCAGGTGTTCGATAGTTCCAGTTTTAGAGCTTGATCGTGCTGAGTAGAGACAGTCACTCACTCCTCCGACTACGTAGGACTATTACTTATGTTTTAGTTTGGTTTTCCTTTTTAGTTCAGTTATTTATTTTCCAGCTGGGATATTATTAGGGGTCCATTAGATGGATCCCCGAGTTGTAATAATATTGGAGGTTTTGGCAATATTGGATTATATAACTTTTAAGAATTATTATTTTGATTTCTTTCAGCTTATTTAATTATTCATTCTTTAAATTCTTTTGTACTCATACTTGTTTATATACTTAATTGTTTGGGATCCCTCGAATCTGTGCTCGGACTTGATCACCATTGGCTCTAGAATCGAGAGGTATCACAGGGGACCAAGACACAAAAGATCTAAAAGGGCCAGACATTAGGTGTGATAGAGTATTATTAACCTCCTAGAATCCTTTGAAAAAGAAAAGAGTTGCTTTTGAAATTTCTCGAGGAAACCACGTCACATTGTTAAAATAGTAATAATTTGTACTTTCCATTGTTGCCATAAAATAAAAGAACTAAGGTTTGACATCTCATAGCTTAAATTAGAACTTTCCACTTGCGAGTTAAACCATACCCGAAAGTGTTTCACAGATAACCAATTTTGAAAGTCCTTGAGCTTCTGGTGGTTGCCGTCGTCAAGCGCCACCGAAGCTTGCAAAGTGTGGAGTATAATGAGTGTGGCCAAGTTTTACATTTATAATTTGCCACTACTACTTTTCACTAAAAATATGGTTAGGGCGAGTAGGGATCGTCCCAAGGGATTGGTGGGTCGTATTAGGTTGTGGAATCGAGATTAGGTCGAGTGATTAAAAGATTGGTTGGTGATTGAATTATACTAAAATGCAATTTAAACTAAAGTAAACAATTAAATGCAATAGAGAGAAAATAAGAGAGAGAGATCTTGGGGTTTAGAGATTACCACTAAGTATAACTTTTCTATACCCTTAATGAATGATTAATGAGGAGAAAAACATGTATTGCAACAATAGTGTATGTGTGTGGTTGTTTCAACAAGCATGGATGACTAATTAAGAATATATTGTCTAAGCAACATAGTGGATAGCACAATATATCAAACTAAGCCATTAATCCTTTCTTTAAGCTCACAATCCAAACACATCACAAGGTTAGAGATATATGCTACTTGTTTTCATAAGTATGGAATATCAAACAATAAGCATGGATTGTCCTCCCATTTAACATCTAAACTACAACTACACTGCAATTAAGCTAATGACATGAAATTAAACTAATTAAACTAAGAGAGAGACACAATCCGTTAAGAAATGAGTATGAACCATCAAATAAACTACAAAAGCATTCCATTAAGCACTATGTCTTGACAATCTCTAGATCTATAGCATCAATACACATAGACATGCATTAATAACACAAAATCTAGAGACAAACACATGAACATCTATTCTAGCATATATAGACATATGGATAGAATGAAATGATCAATTGAAAGCATTAAACCACACAAATCATTGAATAAATAAGATCTATGTATATAAAAATGTCAAAACATATATCACAATACAAATCCCCTCAAAAATACATAAATCAAGATGTATAAAACATGTTTAAGGCTAACTCTAGCCCTAAGAGGATGTCTAGCCACTCATAAATGGTGTCCTCCAACCCACAAGGGCTAACTCCATGGTAGAAATTGCTTCTTTTCTTGGTTGATGGAAGAACTCCAAGCTTGTGTCTTTAGCCTCCTCTCTTCTTTTCTTCCTCGCTAAGAATATGATATGGAAATTGTGTCAAAAGTCCCTCTTTAGTATATCTCAAGAATGACTCATATTCCTTATATAGGTAGGTCAAATATCACTCCCAATGACCTGGGCTCGTACACCAATATTCCTCCCAATGATTGGATATGAGACAACTTTTAATGAGCTGGAAATTAAATTTTCTTGCACTTGGGGAAGTTCCATCGATCGAACTTGTGGTGAGATTAATCGAACATGGCTGAGATTTATCGAACTTAAGCTGGATCGATCCTCTATAGCGGCACCTTTTTGGATAAGGACAGATCTGAGATATTTTGAGGAATAAGACAAAAGTGGTAGGTAGGGTGGTACAATAGGATAAGATAGAATATTTTCGATCGATCTGAGAATTGTTGGATCGATCGAACTTTGTGGGATCTTTGGATAAGGACAAAAGAGCTTTGATCTATCTTGAAATGTTGAAATTGATCAAAGTTGGATCAATCAAATATTTCCTGAGATCGATCGAACTTGTTGAATTTCCACCACTTGCTTCCTTTTGCTCCCACTTTGCTCCTTTATTTGATTCATCTCAAGATTGCTTCAATTATGTTCTTATGTAGCTGAGTTAGCTTATTTTGGGGATAAGCACCTACAAAGGGCAATAACACGAAATTAGTCTAAAACGGAAAAGTAAAATAGATAAAGGTCCTAGAATACCTAAGCTTAAGGGGTTTAAATGCGCACTTTTTAGCACTCATTAGCTTCCAAGTTTGCAAGACAACAAGGCACTTCCAAGTTAGTAATGGATATTCATTCCTCGATTTCCAGTAAGCATTCTCAATGCAGCTTTAAAGAGATGGAAGCTAACGAAACCAAATCAAGAGGTCTAATATGAGGACGAGTGCGAGATGGGGAGATATCTCGTCATTTCATAATTAGGATAGGACATGTCAATAGGCGGAACAAATAAATAGCCATTATTAATAGGTGTGAAAAATATAGTCGTTGGTAATGAATACTCATGTATCAGTTTCTGATGAGTATTGTCAAAGCAGCTTTAACGAGATGGAAGCTAAATGAACCACATAAGGAGGTCTAGGAAGAGGGCGAACACAAGATGGAAAAATACCTAATAGTTAGTGTTATTTTATAATTATTAGAATACGACAAGTCTATAAACGATAAATTAATAAACAGTCGTTATTACTAGGAGTCAAGAATATAGTGCTTATTAATGGATATTAATTCATTCCCTAGTTTTCAATGAGCATTATCGTCAGAGTACTTTTAACGGGATGGAAACGACAAATTAATAATCAACCGTCATTAATGGGTGTCAAGAATATACTGTTTATATATTAATGGATATTAATTCATTCCCCAATTTTCGATGAGCATTGTCAAAGTAGCTTTAGCGAGATGGAAGTTAACGGAACCACATTAGGATAGGACAAACGCGAGACGGGGAGATACTTAGTAATGTTATTCATAATTATTAGAATAAGACAAATTCATAAACGACAAGTTAACAAATTAACAGTCGTTATTAATGGGTGTCGAAGAATATAGCTGAGGATACCAAAAGTGGCATGGGCCGGATCTGGCTCACATGATATAAAATGGGCTTGGTAATTGACCTAGGCTCGGATCAAGCTTCCATAGGGCAGGCCTAAAGCTGAATAGTGAAGCGAAAATCCCCTGAAGATGATCAGGCCCATGATTACGAAAGCCTTGAGGATGAGCCCAATGGAAGAAGTTAGTTAGGAATCCTCTAGGAAACTGTAACTGGTCTATAAATAGAAGGGGAGAAGAGAAGAAAAAGGGGAGGATGATTATTGAAGTGTAGTGAAACTCTGTTGAAATGAGAATAGAAATTTCTTGCATCTTCAATTGGCGCCGTTTGTGGGAACAATGAAGATTGATTGATGTTTGATTCAGACTTGATTCGATCCAATGTAGCTCGTGAAGACGAAGCTTGGTCGTTGAAGGCAGAGTTAAGATCGGTGAAATCGTGATCTGTGTGGTCGAATCTTGAATCCAGTTGATTTTTAGAGGTTCGCATTCGATCTACGCAGCTCTAATCCGGTGAGCTGTACAGTCAAGGTTCGTTGAGATTGTTGAATTAAGCAGGTTCATCGCCGGAGTAATTCAGATCCAGCCAATCACGATTGAAATTCAATGAAGCTAGAATCCAGATCTAGAGCGCTCGCATTGGCGAAGTTCAGATCTGATCAGAAATCCGTGGTTAATGACTTTGCTACGATCCGATATGATGATCAGAGGAAAGAGTTCAAATCCAATAGAGAATGGCCAGCAGGTGAAGCTCGATGAAGTGATGAACATAATTGAAGCCCTGAGAAAAGAAAATGTAGAGTTGAGAGCTGGAATGGAACACCGAGAGGTTCCGGTCGTGCTGTGACCACTTTCGGTGGGCAAGAGAGGTGTGTGGCCTGACGAAGCACATCAAGGTGAGCAAGAGGGAGATAACCACGTCGATCTTTATCGCGATGAGGTCAGGATGGAGAATTTACCGCTAAATGCTCGTCGCGTTGAGGATCGAGAAGGATCTATACACCTCGATCCGCATCATGAGCAGATCAGGCGGGAAGAGGCTACAGCTTTCAATCTGCATCAGGTTAGGCACAATTGCGGATAGGAGATGGAGTTTGGTTGTCACAAGATTAGCTCGCCGTGACAAAAAGAGTTCACTGAGGAAAAGTCGTACGATCTACTTTACCGGCCTTCAATGGAGACGTATGATTACAGGAACTCAGAGGGAAGATCTGCAGATCCAAAGATTCCATTACGGTACTCAAGGGAGAATGAAGCACTCCGTTCCTCTGTAAGAACGGTTGCATCACCATTCACAAGCGAAATCCTGAATGCTCCGAATCCGAAGAAGTTTTCTATGCCGATATTCATTCTGTTCGATGGAACAACTGACCCGATCGATCACATTTACCACATTCAGTTGAAAATGGCTTTAAACACGAACAATGACCCTCTGATGTGCAAATGCTTCCCTACAAGCTTATCAGGGCCAGCCCTTAGCTGGTTCAAGAATCTTACTCAAGGCTCAATCGCTAGCTTCTAAGATTTGTGTGACAAGTTTATTAGCCAATGAAGCAGCATGATGATGAACGACTCCAAGCTTTTCTCACTAGGTTTAACCTTGTCAAGAGGATGGTTATGGAATGTCATCCGTCAACAGCCGTTCAAGTGTTCAAATTGGAATGAACCGAGGGACATCGTTCCACACAAGTCTGGTGGTAAATACGCCGAAGACCATGGACGAGCTGAATGAAAGAGCCGATGGCTTCGTGCGTCTGGAAGAAGAAGAAACAGTTAATGCAAGGAAGACATCTATTATCTCCACAGAGGAGAAGTCTAAAGCCAAGATTCGTCAGAAGCAAGCTCCACTGCCGCGTCAGACTTCCTGGAAGACAGTGAAGAGGCCCCGAGAGGAGGAGATGATTACTCCACTCAAAGTCACACTGGCGAGGCTGTACCAAGGAAATAAAGATAAGTTTCGTCCTTCATTACCCATCAGACAACCTTTTAAACAGAGGGATCAATCTAAACATTATGCTTTTCATAGTGATTATGGTCATCAGACTAATGAATGCAGGAACTTACGGAGGCAGGTGGAGACGCTTATCGCAACGGGAGAGTTTACCGGGTATGTTCAAGGGCCAACACAGGAACATAATCGGCTAGCTGAGCAAGTCAAGAGAAATCAAAAACCGAATCCCCATCACGCTCAGCCCGTTTGGATAATAAATGCAACTCATGGCCGACCTGAGCAGGCAACAGAATCTGAAAAATTGCTCTGAATGTATCTCCGTCAAGTGCAGATGAAGCGGCGAATAGGCAGTGTCAATACTCTGCATCATCAGAATGCATCGACGCAGATAAGGTTTGACAAATCAGACCTGCTGCGAGTTCAGATTCCTCATGAAGATCCTTTGGTTGTTAGTTTGACAGTGGCAGAGTGTTTGGTACGAAGGATGCTAATTGATCCTGGGAGCAGTGCGAATGTCATGCCTCGGGTTACCTTCGATCGGCTAAAAATTAAGCCAGAGGTGCTTAAATGTACTGGGAATCCATTGTTTGAGATTCGATGGAAAGTGTGTCGAACTAATCGGCACAGTTGAATTGCTTGTCTGAGCTGCCGAAAGGGAACTTATCGAGAGCGTTGTAGTAGTAGAAATCCATCCATCTTACAATCTACTGATGGGAAGAGGGTGGATTCACAGGGTCCAGGGAGTTCCATCGACCCTGCACCAAGTGATGCTATGTCTGAGTCCGGATGGCAATAAGGTGATTGATATCCATGAGGACCAGGTTGCAGCGAAGGAGTGTTACTCGATAACTCTGAAAGCTGCAGGGAAGGGAAAAACTCCCATCCGATCTGGTAGCCCACAATAGCAACTAAAGAAGCCTCCCCCCAGCACGAACGGGGAGGAGGAGCCTCCGATTTTGACCGAAGAACCTTTAGTTGATGTTTAAATTGATCATTTGAAGCCTGACCGAACCACAAAAGTAGGTTCCTGCCTTGACGAGGAAGAAAGACGCCAATTGGTTGATTTCCTTTCCCAAAATGCAGATGTGTTCGCTTGGAGCCATTCAGACATGCCAGGGATCGACCCCTCTGTCTCTTGTCATTCTTTTCGAGTGGATCCGAATGCCAAACCTGTACGGAAGAAGCAACGAAGATTCGCCCTGGAGCGCAATCAGATCATTGCGGATGAAGTTGACAGACTGTTAGAAGTTGGGTTCATCCGGGAGGTTCATTATCCGTTCTGGCTCTCGAATGTAGTCATAGTACAAAAGAAGAACGAAAAGTGGAGGGTTTGCATAGACTTCACTAATCTCAATAAAGCCTGCCCGAATGATAGTTTTCCTCTTCCGAAGATCGATCAGATGGTGAACGCTACGATTGGATACGAACGACTAACTTTCTTGGATGCTTACTCTGGCTACAATCAAATCCTAATGGATCCGAACGATGAAGAAAATACCTCTTTTGTCACTGAACAAGGGACCTACTATTATAAGGTCATGCCATTCGGACTAAGAATGCAGGCGCTACGTACCAAAGATTGGTCAACAAGATTTTCAAGAATCAAATGGGCAAGACTGTTGAAGCTTACATTCTATTGATGACATGGTAGTAAAGAGCAAACAGAGGGATCATCATTTACAACATCTGCAGGAGGTGTTCAACGTACTCAGGCGGTATAGGATGAGGTTAAACCTAACCAAATGTTCGTTCAGAGTGGGGTCTGGGTAATTCCTTAGTTATGTGGTCAACAACAGAGGGATTGAAGTCAACCCAGCCCAAGCAGCAGCTATACTAAAAAATGCAGAACCAAACACTGTTAAGGAAGTCCAAGCTCTCACCGGGCGCATAGCGGCCCTAAGTCGATTCATCTCTAAGTTATTAGACCGATGCAAGCCATTCTTTGATATTATAAAAGGTCATGGAAAGCAATCCTGGGGGGATGAACAGAGGCAAGCACTGTCAAAATTAAAGGAGTATATGTTAAACCCACCAATCCTGACCACCCCAAAACTGGGGGAGAAGCTTTTCTTGTACCTAAGAGTATCCAACATTGCAACTAGTGGTGTTTTGATACGATGCGAGAACAGCAAGTAATCCACAGTCTTCTATGTCAGCAAAACAATGACCGAGCCAAAAAGAAGGTATTTGAAGGCTGAACAAGTAATCTTGTCTTTGTTAAATGCGAAGAGGAAACTCAGGCATTATTTCGAGTCCCATCCTATAATCGTTCTGACCACATTTCTTATAAGGGTGATCGTGCATAAGCCAGATTTGTCCGGACGAATGACGAAATGGGCAAAAGAGCTGAGTTCTTTTGACATTACATATGAACCCCGAACGGCCATCAAGGGGCATGCTGTGGCTGATTTCCTTTTAGAGTGTGATGTGGATAAGCCAGGGGACGATACTGAAGACTCTTCATGGAAACTCTTCGTTTATGGTTCTTCCAATCAGTTGAGGGCAGGACTCGGGGTCAAGTTACAGACACCAGAAGGCACCACGCTGAGCCAGACAATCAGGCTTGAATTCAGAGCTACTAATAATGAAGCAGAATATGAAATATTGCTGGCTGGATTGAAGTTGCCCAAAGAGCTAAAGGTCAAGAGTTTGGTCGCTTTTAGTGATTCACAACTGGTCGTTGGAACTAAGGATGAAACGATGGAGGCATATCATTCAGCCATGATGCGGGAGGCTGAGAGTTTTGACCAGATCAAGTTCATCTAGTTGCCGAGGGAGTATAACGAGGATGCTGATCGGTTGGCATGTAGTGCGTCGAGTTCTGGGGAAACACTGACAAGGGTGATTCCAGTTGGTGTGTTATGCCAGCTATCTATCTTTGGAGAGTCATCAAGCTCGGAGCCTTGGCAAGTGAATGTCATACCATATGAGCCAAGCTGGATAGATCCAATTCTTACATATATTCGGGATGGTGTTTTGCCCGAGCAGAGGGATGAAGCAAGAAAGATCAGATCAAATACTGCGAAGTATGCCAAAATGCATAACCAGTTGTACAGGAGATCTTACTTAGGGCCTTACTTAACATGTGTAACCCCCACAAAAGCTCGGCAGATTCTACGAACTATCCACGAAGGTGTGTGTGGTAATCATTCTAGAGGGAGGTCTTTATCGCACAAAGCGATGACACAAGGGTATTTTTGGCCAAATATGTCAAGAGATGCGGAGGAATTCTCAAGAAGGTGCGATAAGTGCCAAAGGTTCGGACCAATGATCCACCAACCACCAGAAGACTTGCATATAATGGCTAAGCCATGGCCTTTTGCGCAATGGGGGATGGATGTGGTTTGCCCGTTGCCGACTGCCAGATCACAAAATAAATATGTTCTACTTGCAACAGACTACTTTACCAAATAGGTGGAGGCCGAACCGTATCCCAGTGTAACTCAGACCTATGTGAGATGCTTCATTTGGAGCAATATCATCTGTCGATTTGGTGTGCCGAGGTCGATCGTTATAGACAATGGAACTAATCTTGATAGCAAGCAAGTAAAGGAGTTGATGGAAGAGTACGGAATCAATCAAAAGTTAGTAGTAGTCAGCCATCCACAGGCAAATGGTTAAGCTGAGATCACAAACCGAACGATATTTGCTTGTATAAAAAAGAAGCTTGAGGAAGAAAAAGGCAAATGGTAGGATGAGCTCCCGAACATCTTGTGGGCCTACAGAACTACTCCGAGACGGCCGGCTGGAGAGAGCCCGTTCGCCATGACATATGGTACCGAGGCAGTAATGCCGGTCGAACACCTTGTTCCCATCGTTCGAAGCCTAGCGTGGAATCAAGAGCAGAATGATCACATGCTGAAAGTCAACCTCGATCTGCTTGAAGAGAAGAGAGATGTGGCAGCAATAAGATTAGCATCATATCAGCAGACGCTTATGAACAGTCACAATAAAAAGGTGAGGCACAGGAACTTTGCACCAGGTGATTTGGTTCTAAAGATAAAGGTTGGAATTGTCAAGAAAATGGTGTCACCATGGGAGGGACCGTATAGAATTGCCGAAGTCATAGGAAATGGGGTATATGTACTAGAGACCATGGCTGGAAGGCTGATAAATAAGCCATGGAACGCCACGTCTTTGAAAAGGTATTACCAATAGAAAATTGAGTGTTGAGTTCCGATCTGGTCAGTGTTTATTTCCAATTGTGTGCTTATGAGTATATAAAACTTCAAAAGATCAATAGAAAAATATTATTTTCCCTTCAATAAGGTGACCAAAGGCCAGGTACTTAGCAAAGTAAGTGGCCGCTAGCACTATAAGCTGAACGCCAAGCACTTGCTAAAAAATTGAAAGCCAAGTGGCAAGTGGCATTCTAGCCGAGCGCCAGACACTTAGCAAAGAAAGTGGCAGTTGGCACTATGAGCCAAACACCAAGCATTTGCTAAAAAATTGAAAGCCAAGTGGCAAGTGGCATTCTAGCCGAGCACCAGGCACTTAGCAAAGTAAGTGACAGCTAGCACTATGAGCCGAACGCCAAGCACTTGCTAAAAAATTGAAAGCCAAGTTGCAAGTGGCATTCTAGCCGAGCGCCAAGCACTTAGCAAAGTAAGTGGCAGCTGGCACTATGAGCCGAACACCAAGCACTTGCTAAAAAATTGAAAGCCAAGTGGCAAGTGGCATTCTAGCCGAGCGCCAGGCACTTAGCAAAGTAAGTAGCAGCTGGCACTATGAGCCGAACGCCAAGCACTTGCTAAAAAACGAAATCGATCACCATTGCTGATACACAAAGAAAGGCAGTAAGAATTTATTAAAAATTACAGGGCAAGAGTTTAGTCAAAAATCCTTCATTTCATTCATAATGAATTTTAAAATTACATAGATGAAGTGTACAGAAGGAATGAGAACGGATAAGAAAATGGAGGCATCAGAAGGGCCCTAGCTGTTTGCATTCGCCCCATTGACCTCTTGACTGTGTTGAGTAGTTTCCTCACTGTTATAGGGTGTCACACGTCACGGAAGGGAGAGTCGAGCTGAATAACCAACTCATTTACCTCTGCCCTATCTTCAACAATAGTTGCAGAGGGAGCACCCTCAGTGACAGTTGCAGAGGGAACATCTTCAGTAACAGCTGCAGAGGGAACATCCTCGGTAACAGTTATAGAAGGAACCACGGTAGATAAGGGAGGAGCGTCTAGAGGCTGAGCAGAGGAGGAAGAAGGGATAACCCCAGAAGATGCAATCTCCTGGCATTCATCAAAGATATGTTCGGCAGGAGAGGAGTCTAGGTTAGTATAGATTCTTGGTGGATCGATCTTGAGTTCATTGTCAATGTCATCTGGAATGAAACCGATCTGACCTTCAGTAGGAAGACGGTCATTGTAACCCTCTCTGAACCCTTCAGCATATCTGAGGGCTCCGATTCTGGAGAAGCGACCATGCAGAGCTGTCACCCCGCTATTAACCTTGCCAATAACGCCAAGCAAGGCATTGCGCTCATCTAGAGCCCTCTTTTCAAAGGCCATGCGCTTCGCTTGTTCGTCATGAAGCAAGCGCTGAAGGTTGTCCCTTTCAGCTTTAAATGACTCACGTTCGGTCTGCCAGATATTCTTCTCAATCTGAAGGGCATTCTTC